AGTTTTACAAAGAACATGTATATAAACAGTTTATGAAAGAGGAAGCATCATCTTCTCAATCACGAGAGTAAAATAAGTAATCTATAATATTTAACAATGATTAATACTAGATATTATGGATTAAGACGACGACCTACATTTGATGAAATGCTGAAAGAAGCGATGACACACAGATTGAAAATTGAAATTATCCCCGAAAGACAGACATTTGACACATCAATTAACAATATAGACTTTGATGAGTTTGACCTTTCAAAATATGATAGGAGACTACAGTTGAATGCTTGGGTTCAATCTGATAAACAAGTTTTGTTACATGAGTTGACACCTGAAATGTTTGATGAAGTAGCACCGACCTCACAATTGTATGAAAACAACGAGGCAGACGCACAAACAACACGATATGTAGCAAAATATTTAAATGATGAATAACTCAACGATGCAATTTCGAACAAGACTGAGGAAAAAAAAACCAGATGTTGAACCAGAAGATGTAAAAGATAAAGACTTAAAACAGACTGATGAAAAGCATGAAGATTTACAGTACAAAATCTTCATTTAACGTCATCATCGTCAGCATCAACCGTGAAAGAGGAAGAGAAGAAAGAGGAAAGCCGAGAAAAAAGTCGTTAAGAAACATATTTTTTAGGTGGAGAAGACAAGAGTGTGCTTGAATTATTCAAGCGCGAAAAGAAGTCATTCTCGCCATCCATTCAATCTGAAGAACAACAAGAACAACCAAGAGCATCATGCTGGACGAGACCAGGTAGAAGCAAGAAGCGGAAGTCACTCACCTGAAGAAAGAGCAAGAGGTAATCAATGGAACAGAAGACAAATGGAAACAATAAGTAGGAGCAACTCACCTGAAGAAAGAGCAAGAGGTAATCAATGGAAAAGAAGACAAATGAAAACAAGAAGTAGGAGCAGAAGCCCAGAAAGTGCTGACACAAAAAATAGTCGTGGTAAGAAGAAAAAATGGAGATGTTGAAAATAAGTATATTTTAAAACATTCATTTCAAAAATAATATTTTGAAGATATTACATTTAAAATATCATTTTTCAGGAGTGGAAACCAGCATTAAACTATTACCTTTGCATTTGCTGTTGTAGTTATTTTTAAGGGGTTGATTGGCAGTTCCTTCCGCTTCCTTCTTTCTATAGTATCTCTGCCTATCAAGTTCCCTTTTCCTTGCCATAAACTCAGGGTCTTCCTTCATTTTCTTATAATACAGTCTGGTAAATAGTGCCATCTGCTCTTTAATCTCGTCAATTGTCAAATCTTCAATATTTTTAGCGCACATTTTATCTTAATATATTATAGCAAGGTTTCTTTGGAGTATACATTAAGACAAAATATGAATTAACATAAATTCAATAAGGCGAAAAAAGAGTAATACAATATATATATATATAAAGAAATATTAGCATATATTTTTACACAAGAAATATAGATTATAATATCAATTTCTCAAAACATTCAGGGACAGCAAAAGAAACAAAATACCCACACAAACTGTACAAAAGGTTAATACTATCATTGATTCTTATGAAGACCGTAAAATCGTCCAATTTGACACGGCGCACAAATTAATCACAGGCATCACTGCAACAAATGACAAGGAATTGAAGAAAGGACTAAAGCAGTATGAAAAGGCTGTCGCCAAGTACCAAAACATAAAACCGATGAGACAGAATGAAACCAGCAACAGAAAAAGCAGTTATTGGCAGGAAACTAGCCACCATTAGAAGAAGAATTAATGGAAAAGACACCCTTAAGAGGAATTCAATCGATGTATGGAGACAACATAGCAAAGGGTAGAAGAACAATTGTTATTAAATATCTTCTTTATACTAGAGACGCAGGACGGGCTACAAAATCCGGATTTTTCAGATTAAATTGTATTAAATATTACCCGTTGCTGTATCCTACCGTAAAAAGAACAGGCAACATCAAAGCACAGTGGGAGTTTATTAGTAACGCAGTGAATGTTAAAATTACAAGGCATTTTGATAAACATAAGCTTCACAAAACGGTTGCAATGATGAGGAGCGACCCAGCATTTAATAATTTTACAGATGGTTCGGTTTATAAACACCTTGATTGTATCAAAATTGAAAGTGATGAATTGGTTGATGAAGACGCAGTGGATGGTGATATTTTTGATGATGAACTCACCGACGCAAAACATAACATAAGCATTCATCACAGATATATTCAAACTGAACTGAACCCTGACTGCTTAACATTGCAGGAGGCAATAAAGAAAGGCGACATGTTGAAAATGACTGTGGATTAATGAATTGATGGAGCACTACGGTGACACATTGATGCGACACAAGAAGACAGAACATACAATGGACGGATTATCATAACTTACAATAATAAAAACATTCCTTCTGCCACTAAATTTACAACGAAGGAAGCAAGAATGAAAAGGAATGAATTTGAAGTAAAAATGAATATTACAATGCAATCAAGAAATACTAGAAAATACCCTAAGTTGTCATTGGGTAGTAATGTAACAATAATGAGGAAGAAAGCAATAAGCGAAAAGGCACATACCAGTCATTGGTTAAAAGAAATATTTAAGGTAAAAACTTGGTAATAAATTAGGTCAAACTTACTTTTATTTGGAAGGAAAAACTAGCCCTTATGTAAGACACGAATTATTGAAAGTTTAATACTGGGCGAAATATACTTAAAGGGAAATTGTCTTATAATATTCGTGAAATGTTTAGTGAAATAAAGCAAGAAATAATTATTAACGAATTCTTAAATACAATTAATATAATGTAAATGATTTGTGTAAAATTATGAAAACTAAAATTAAAAATTGCCCTTGTAGATCAGAAGGTGAAAAAGTTGAATTATGTAGGCTAAATGTATATCAAAATATCATTAATATTAATAATATATGTGCATTTAATTATCAAGAATGTGAAGACTGTCACTATATAAGAAGATTACCTAAAATTGATGAGGGAAAAACACATGTAAAGCAAATGTCATTTCGTTCCTGAAAAGAAGGTAGTAAAAAATTAATTTAACTTCCCATTTAGAAAAATAGGCTGCCTAAAACAAATTTATCAAAAAATGGGTAATAATAATTTAGACATGGAAATTAGTATTATTAAGTTGGAGAAATTCAACTTAGAGCAATTGCCGACTCTAATAAAGTTAGTAAATATATGTATGACAACAAGAGACACAGAAAACATGTGTGCTGTAATATGTTTGTAGAATGTCCTGTGCTTAAGGCAATGCCTTATGAAGAAGAGCAAGCCATAAACCTTGCAGTAAAAACATTGTAAAATTTATGTTTATGATTTGTTATATTTCTGGCAATTTAGGGGGGCTTGGTTTAGACTTAAAGGCATACTACCTATAGATATTATGGAGAAGCAATATTGTAAAAAATGTAATGAAACGAAACCAACGGAATAAATAAATATTGTACAAGGCGTTTAGAAAAAGAAAGGGAAAAGCACCAGAGGAAAAACACAGAGAAATGCGCAAAAAAAACAAAAAAAAAACAACGTGAAGAGCATAAGGAAGAAATAAGCGCAAAAAAAAAGGAGTGGTGGAAAGTGTATAATCAAATTGAAGTGTGACATTTGTCAATGTAAATTCAAAAAAAAACTGGATGTCTAGACATTTGAAAGCACTGAGGCATATTGAGAATGAGAAGCAAAAGGAAACACCAACTATTATTGAAAAGAACCTGTTGATATTAAAACAATATAAATGGAAATTACAACGTACATTTTACAATACAAATATTGTAAACTATTGTAGAAATTTGGAAAATTACAGTTTGAAAAAATAGAAAAATATGTTTGACAATTTGGACAATGTTTGTTTAAAAAAATATGTATTAAATCTTGAGTTGAGGTTCTGTTATGAATTATGTTGAAAATTGTTGTGAAATGGTTTGCTGAGGGGATGTAATCTGAATTAGGGCGCGCACGCTGGTAGGTCACACACACCCACACACCCACACACACCCACACACACCCACACACCACACACACCCACACACACCCACACACACCCACACACACACACACACACAGCACACACACACACCAACCACACACACCCACACACACCCACACACACACACACACCCACACACACCCACACACACCCACACACACCCACACACCCAAACCCCCCCACACCCCCCCACACACCCCACACCCCCCCACACCCCCCCACACACACCCCCCACACCCCCCCACACCCCCCCACACCCCCCCACACCCCCCCACCACCCCCCCACCCCCCCACCCCCCCACACCCCCCCACACCCCCCCACACCCCCCACACCCCCCCCCCCACACCCCCCCACCCGCCCACACCCCCCACACCCCCCCACACTCACCCCCACACCCTCACACCCCCACACCCCCACATGCCCGGCGGGATCCACTGGCGAGCTGCTCTGGCGGGATACTGGGTGGGGGCGTGGTGTAGAAGCATCGCAAACGCGGATTCCAACATAAAATCTAACAACCCCTTTCTGTCGGAGTGTGGGGCAAAACATTGAGCGCCGCTGCTTCGGGCGCAAAAAAAACCGACTGTGTCACATCAAATCTCCGCTAACACTGGGTCTTCGTCATGGTTCCCTCAACCGCAGGAAGTTTAGAAGGAACTGGCCTGGTACTGGAACTAACTGAGCTGTGGTTTCTCTGAGGGTTGGGCATTTATGTATACATCTGTACATGCCAAAAAAAGAAGAAACCATGTGCATTTTTGGGGACCTCGGCCTGCTCAAAGGCAACAATGTTACATTTGGCCATGAAAATTGCATAACGCTTATACTACCCGTAGAAAATACGGTTACTGGGTGTGCTTGTGTTGAGGGCATCCCTCTTTTTGTGGTGCTAAAGGAAAACCAGGAAGAAAAACAAGAAACGGAATCCATTTTGGGGGTCCAACTCCAAAAACACACACTCTGCACACCCACTGAAAACGAAGCATGTCGTTTTTCCGTTGCCTGGACCACAAAGTCTTTGAAGTGAAGGCAGCCTCCTACCCGTGCTTTGCAGTTCCTCGGGCGCCAATTGCCTCTCACGGCAACTGGGCGCTTGTGGAGCCCTTGTGCCCATCAAGTTGATCTAAAACACAAGGAAGCCAAGCTTGTCAGGAACCACTATTTGAGACACACACATTTGGGTTCAAGTGGATGGTGCAATTACCCCATGGTTTGGTCACCCCCTTACCCACTAATGGTGCGGGATCTGCTTTCATGGTGTACTTGATGTTTGGGATTCAACGGAAAGATTCTTGGAACCTCAAGAGGGTCTCCGCTTTCCCGGTCTGCGTGGTTCGCGGTTCATCAGAGGTTCCCACCCCAAGGTGGCCCCTTGGGCCAGCCTCGCTACTGCATCAAAGCAATGGATCAAAGAGCACTTGGCAAGGCTAAGTAACGAGGGGTTGGTGACTTTTAAAAAGTTCAAGAGCCATGCAAAAAAGGACAGAGGCGAATAGCCGCACCTATGTCTGGCATCTGCCCGAAACGGATTTGATTAATCAATGTCTTAGAACAGGGGGACCCACAAATGCGTTCCTTGTGGAGTCCCAGTAACAAGTGCTCAAAACTTTCAGTTGCTTCCAGTCCCTTGGAAGGAGTAACAAGTTTCCAGTAGCGATAGATTCCCTTAAAACTACCATGGGACAATACAAAACCGTCTGAAGCAAATGGAAGAAAAGGTCATCCCCGTCTAATTGGCGGTTGGGCTTGTGATTTGGAGGTGTTCCGGGGTTGGATTTCCATTTGCCCTCTACAAGGACCAAGGGTTCAAATCCCTAGTCCGCTCTAATCCAAACCACCAACTATTTACTTCCCTCTTTCGGGGGGGTTTAAGCTTCGATCCCATTTTCTTCCTTGGTTTGTTTTCCATTTGCTTCGACCCCCTTTTGGAATTGTTGCTTCAGCATCATTTTGTTTCATTACCTTCGCTCTATGTTGCTTTGCTTTCTTTTAAAGGCTGGCAATCCCCCCCCCCCCTCAAAAGAAATAAAAAAAGAAAAAACATACCCCCCCCCCCCCTCCCTGTCTCTTGTGGCTCTCTCTCTCTCTCTCTCTCTAGTGCATCTCAGCTTCCTGAGCGTCATTCGGCCCCCCAACTCGCCGCTCGCGGCAAAGATCACGCCGCCCTTGTAGTCGGCTGAGCCGCCGCCGGCCACAAGCGTGCCGTTCAGCACCACCTTCCCCTGAAAGTCCTGTCCCACGATTCTCTCCACACGATATGTTGACACGTGTTCGGGGGCACGTGCCATCGGCAACGCCCGAAGCCGAAAGGGTCCAACATGGACTGATCAGGTCAGCAAAGAGCAGGCTCGATTTTCAGGTAAGTTTGCTTTTGAGCGTGCTTCTTCGCACACCTAGGGTTACCAACGCACCATCCCAGAAATAGGCCACAATGCCCGGCCCAAAAACGGAACCCTGGAAGAAGCCCACTAAAAGCCCGACGACCCGTGCGCAGATGAAGGGAAGCTCGGGAGGCGAAGGAAACCGGTTTTGACGCCCCATGTGCAAAATGGTTCGACCCGTCGTCAAAGAAAGCACAGACCAACTCATGAAGTTCTTGTGGGGCGCTTGGCCAACGAAAAGAAAGAGGAACCGGCAACAACAAAGACCGAGCGCAAAAAGACATTGATGCAGATTTGGATTTGGCAGCTGTCTCCCATTTACAAATTGTATTCTGTGTGGCTGTTTGTTGTCCTTCCTTGGGGCCAAACAAAAAGTCACCAAAAAACCAACCGAACTCCTGTCCTCCATGTCCGCAATGGCGCTAGAATTCGTCTTCGCGATCAATTTGTTGCTGCAGATGCAGCCCCCGTTCCCGGCCCAGCAGTTGGACAAGGTGATCTTCCCATTTTCCTGTTTCGAAGTGATTCTTTCTTAAAGTAGATATCATAATATGTCGCAAATCCAACACTAAACGCTTAAAGTTTCAAAGCTACACCCTGGTGACTTTCAGAAGGCGCGCTATGGCCCATACATTCTGGTTAAACGGGAGCACCCATAGGATGCAGGCGGGTGGATGTCGCCAGGCGCCGGGGTTTCCTCAACTTGCCGCCCAAGTTTCCTGCAAGAGGTCTGTGCCCGCGAGGTGCAACGCACCGCCCTTACCTCTATACGCATGGCAATTGGTGAAGTGCAGGTGGCCCCCTGACTGCACCAGGTCCCCCTGCGCGTAGACGCCGCCTCGCCCCAAAATCGGGCCGATCCCACGTCGCAGCTCGGGTCCGACTTTTGGGAGGTTGCCATGGGTTCCAGGTTGCGTGGGGACATGTGGGGACCTTGCTTCAGCTTCCAGCTGTTTGCTTTTCTATTTACAGGGGGCACACGTGGGAGAACCCTGGTGTCGAGAAGGTTCCATCCCTTCCTGCGGGGCCAGGCTCAAGTCACTCACCGCGGCTTTCCTTTCAGTTTCCCTTCTCAAAGGGTAAATATCAGCTGAAAAACACCTCCCAAATGTTTGGCCCCGTCCAAATACGCATCGTTCGCGCATTCGCATCGCCACTGGGCACCTCCCAGCTCTCCCGCGACGCAGTGCTCGAAGCGGAGCAGCCCACCAGCCATGAAGAGCCTTTGCCATGATGGACAGAATCCGCGCACCAGTTGGAATGGAAACCGTGTGAATACTGGTTGGCAAACCACCTACCAACGGCTGCCGAAGTGGATTTTGGCCCAACGTGGCTTCTTTGTCAGCTTGTTTGGAGCTTCTCTTGGCATCACAGATCGGCCCTAAGATCCCAATTTTCTGCAATGGCCTTTGCCCGACGAAGAGGCAGCCACCCCACATAGCGCTCCCGTTCCGGAAAACCACGCTGCCATTGCTCATGTCCATACGGCCCTCCACGTACAAAGCTCCTCCATCCTTCACATGGAACCATTCGAGCCGAAAAAAAAGTTTCAACAGTTTGTCGGTTTCAAAAACATCGTCGGGAAAATCAAGGTGAAAGCAGATTGATGGCACAACTCTCTGCATTTGGGTAAGTAAAGGGGATGACTAAACATGCACCCAAAGGGCGGTTCTAAAACTAGCAGTTCCCAAAATGGTTGGAGAAGAGCTCCGAATTCTATGTAGGAAACCCAATGCAAGCCTTCCGGCCCGCGTCCTCTGTCTCGGGGCCCCCGCAGCCCCGAAACTCGATGTCCACATCGGACATGTCTAAGGAGCCCTCGATGTCGACACAGCGCCGGTGGTTCGATGCATCGGGCGCACGGGTAAAAACGATGGACCCCTGCAGGCGTTGGCGGGACCAGAAACAACTAGCCCTTAGGAAAGCAAAAAGACACTGTTGAAAGGCGTGCTGAAACCGATGTCTCAGCAAGGGTGCCCAACCTGCAGCCGAGCATTCGCCAAGAAGTGGATCTTCCCATCGACCTCCACTTCCGTCCCGGGCGCACCGCGCAGAAGGCAGTCATCATGATATTCCACCTCTGTGGTGGTCCTCGCAACCAGCAGCAATAACAAAACACACTGGGGTCTGAAATAACATGTCCTAATCGCCGTCTCAAACAACGGCTTCCCGTATCAAGCAAGAAACTTACATCAGACGTATGCCCCAAGTCACACTCCCCTCCGGGTCACAAAGAAATGAGATGACAAGTCCATGACTGCATGCCGTGGCACCAAGTAGGACAACGACAGCATCGCCAAGCGAAAAGACACGACGTGGCTGTCCGGACCATGTTTATAAACGGGTATGTGTCAAAACAGGAGGAAACCCCCCAAAATGGTGGCTTCCCTCTTGGCTTACATTTTAAACAACCTGGAAAGAGTTCCCTCAAACAACCAACCCCTCCCGCCTCCCAACCTGACGTTGAGGTTCCGGGTCGCTTCTGTTGTCTACAAGCAGCCACACCAAGGATATGTGTGTGTGTGTGTGTCTTTTTGTTAAGGTGCCCTTTTTGTGGTTTGAAAGGGGAACCATTTTGGCGTCTCCCATCTTGACACACATTCCCATATTCACTTCACGTCTCGCGGTTCGTGAAATTGCTCTCAAAGGATTCACCTCTGGCTCGAACCCCCTCCATTCAAAAGCCCACCCTTGCTACAAGTTGGACTGTTGGTGGGGTATGTCATAAATCTCTCTAGGCTCCAAATCTTAAAAACTCTAAGGGCATGGCGGGGAGCAGCCAAGTGTAGGACCATTGAGAAGAAGGATGAAATCCTGAAACAGGAGCTAAGACTGCCACTGCCCCCAACCGTGCACCAACAAAAATACGAAGAGAAGCTCTGCATCCGACCGTCCTGTACTTGCCATCCAAGTGCAGGACACCACCCTCGCAGGGCGGCAATGGCTCCCGGTCCCACAAATAGGTTCGCTCCGCGGCGCCGAGGGAAAATCCAAATACGGAGGCCAGCACCTGGCGTTTTTGTGCCTTCTGGGCTTCGACAGGAAAGTCGGAAATGGGCCTCACTCACAAGCAGAAACTCGCCCTTTATGCTTCTCAGAGGAAACTAAAAGAAAACCAACCGCCTGGACCCTCATGTTGAGTAACACCCGTCTCAGTTGCCAGGGTCCTGAAACAAGCATGTACTTGAGAAATTGAGACAAGGCAGACTGAAAGTTGGCACCGCTCGCCAAAAGAGCCAATGCTCGCGAAGATTGCGAACTCGGGCACTGTGTAGTAGCAGTCGGCGGCAAACCGTCCAGTCTAGCCCGGACAGGGCAGAAGTCGACCCCCCCCCCCGCCCCCCGCGCACCCAAAAAATGTGTCAAATGCACCCGTGGCCCCGGTACTGCACTCCCAAATGCCTTTGTTGCTGCCTACAATTTTGCCACCAAACCTCAAGCAAAGCCCTCGGTTCAAAAAGACATCTATCTTTCGTCAGGCAGGTCTCTTGATAGGAAATGGTTGTGCGTTGTTTCACGCAGCAGGTGGGCCCTTTGAAAACATGATGCCGCGCAGGCACAAGGGACGCATAATGATGTAGTCTACGATGTAAGGCCCGCGAAACCCCTCCAAGCATCGGTGTTCGTAGTCATGCAGCTAGCATGTATAGCTAAGCTAAAAGAGCCTCAATTCGATGACCGAGCTACAACCAGGCGTATCCTGAATTCAATCGCTGCTGCCAGCATCCGCATGACCCAGGTTGCAGCAAAGGTGCTGCGACTTGAATTACGTCTCCGTGCAAACGCGAGCAGCAGGACGGGGTAGGCAACACGGTGCAGGCAGCGCCAAAACGAGGCAAACACGGATTGCATCATGAAGCAAGCAGGGACGTCGTATCACAAACAGCGCTCGCAATGCACAGCACAGGTAAGCCACATCGTGGCGATCTCGGTACATCAAGGAGTGCGCTGAATTGACTCAGCAAAGCGGCAGGCCGGCTGGCCTAAACTCGCGTGGAACCCCTGCCGGTCCAAATCAAGTTGGTCTCCTTTCAGCTTTCCGCACCCCGCAGTCCGCAGTGCAATGATCCATCAACCGGTGGTAGAGCAAAATGGAAACTCATCCTTTTCAGGTTGACGGTTCTCTACAACAAGGCCAGTGACCAATGCAAACAGCACCGGGCCGCGAAACCGAGCGAAACCGAGCGAAACCGCCCGTGCCTTGGCCAGAATCATCCCATGACTTTCTCAGACCATATAAGTTATATAAGCTCCGGCTCGCGGCAAGGGCGCCCCGCCGTGCTGAAAGCCACGCGAGGTTTGATAGGCACGGAGGCACGACGGTGCAGAGTCTCGCCCAGGGCAACAGTGTGATATGCCAAAAAGAATAACAACCACTCGAGTCACTCGAAACTCTTCCCCAGTTGATAAAGATGCCCCCCCCCCCCCCCAAAAGAACCCCTGGTTGATTGATAGGGATGCCCCTATTTTAGGGGGGGCTCATCGCTTTTGGAGGGAAAAACTCTCCCCTATTGACTGGACAGGTTCATTCATCCGGGGTCAACATTATGCATATCAATACGAGGCCAGCAGGTCTCTTAACTGCAGTCCGATTAGGGAGCACACTCCAAAACCCTGTCTCTGCCTCCCTGTTAATAGTAAACCCTTAATTAACCCTAGACTGACTGGAAATAAACACCATGTGTCTCTGTTCATGTTAAGTTCGCACTAAAAACCGTTGAACACGCATTCTGCTTGGACCAATGTGACGTCGAGCCCAGTCGTGGGCTTGAAAAGGGGCACCGACTTTGCCCCTGGATTTGCTTAAAGGGAACCCTTCCCCGAACAAGTTATGCAGCTCAACCCAGCTACCCAGCCACCCAAGGCAAATCAGAAAGCGCTATCAACTCAACAAAGTGTTCTTCTGCGACGCTGTGTTTGGCTCTTGGGGTTCTAAGTGTGGGTTGTTTTCGTTCCCTGACAACCACATTTGGCGCACAAGTTCTAAGTATCATGTCTGCCGGATTTGTTCCAAAGTAGGTTCTAAGTGTTTGTCCGGCGCTATAAACGAAATCGTTGGAACAAAGCTGTCCAACACCTGCCGATGTTTTGAAAAAGGGCGCCCTTCCCGAGTTCGAAAAAAGGGGGTGGCATGCACTGGGTGAGAATCGGATCTCCTGGCACTGCGCAGGAACCACCTGCCACGAGGCGAGTGTCGGATCGCGAGTGTCGGACACCAACGTTTTTTTCGCCTGGTCCACCTGGCAAGAAGGGCTGATTTGAGTTTAAATGTTAGGTAAGTAGCTGTTCGCTTGCAGGGGCTTGCTTAGATCCACCTTGTTAGGCGAATGTCCAGCCGTTCGTCTTCGAGACTGAAGATTGATGCCCTGCTCCTGCCATCCTTCTTTTCACCATGTGGAAAAAAAGTAGATGGGGCTCGCAAATGAATAGAAAAAAACAACTGAAACGAGTGCTATAGATTTTGAACCAAATCTGAGGACACCTATGCACCCGCCGTCCCGCTGTTGCCCGGAAATTCCTAGATGGCATGATGCTGGCCGCCTGCACCTCCCTAAACCCACCCCCCCCCCCCACCGGGTTGCAGGTAGAAATTTGGGACCCAATTGGTGGTTCGGATTTGTGGTGGTTAAGAGCTGGTTTCACAATTCGCCACAAGAACCAGGGGTTCAAACTCCCCGACTACCAATTCAATCCACCAACTGAGGGTTGCCTGAACCAAAGGAAACCATGGGGTTTGAGGCTTGGTCATGGAGTATGTTGCTTGGAAGTTGTAATCTTTAGCGCGGCATTTTCCAGCAAATGACCGAGGGCCGAGGAAATTGTTCTACTCGGGGTAGGTCAGCGGCTCCACACGCGGAGCGCCCCGGCGTGAGAAACCCATGGCTCGCAATGTGTTTATAGGGAGTGTGACTATCTACCCTATCCAGTAGCATCAGTCTGCAAATTCTATCAAAGAACAAAACTTGAAATACGATTCGGATCCCGTGTTTCAAAATTTCAAAACAAAAAGGACCTTAGTCCTGGTGAGCCTGGATATAAAAATATGTTCTGTAAGCAAAAATAAAAGAAGACAACAAATGAGTGGACTAAGTGCTACCTCTTCCCAGGCAAGTCAATCTTTGGTTGGGTGACCCTAAATGGGTTCCAACAGGGTAGGATGTTTAGGCACCGTCCTTTGGCACAAGCAGCAAGCAACTCGTTCATCGGAACCCGTCTATCACGGGTCCCCTGGTGATCCACCCCATGAGAGCTGCCCACCTGCGACTTAGCAAGCAGCCAGCCCAGCCCGTCCTTGGAGGTGCGGAGGGTGTGAAGTCTCGCAAAAAGGAAAGGAGTTCTTGACCTGTCAACGGATGCCTCATTGTTTGGGCCGTGCACTCTGAACTCAGTAGGACGCCACTTCTTTTGGCACCCCCTTCCAAATGCGACACCGAAGCCTCGTGACAACCGCTCATGTGCCGGGTTGCTTCCATCTGTTTTGATTCCTTTTTCCGAGTGGATTGGCTCGAAAATGTCTGAACAGTTCCTTTGCCACCAAAATGACCTTCCCAAAAAGCAAATAAAGTTCAAGAACTCGGGAAGTGAACAAAAGAAGTGGAAAAAGCAACACGGGGCTCGCAAGGGCGTCCGATCAAAACTGGGCGATCTCCGGGCCTATGCGCAAGTCGATCAGAAGGCATCAACGGCAACGCCAAACTCAGCAAGCGTTCGACCCGGAATTCCAGAATGGTGAGGGTTGTCCGCCAAACAGCAATTTTCTGAGAGGTGCTTGTTCCATAGAAAGGGAAAGTGACTTCGGAAATATGTTGTTTGATTTGGCCGTCAGGCAAGCAAGAGGAAGACGGCACGCCCACTTTTTGTCTTTTCGGTCATGCCGGCGCCGCCTGCTTGCGCATTCCCCGCTCCTTCAAGAGCTGCCTCAGAATTAGCGACACCTCGCAGAAAACGCCGTTGCGATCCGACGATTTCTGACAACTGAAATTCACACAGGGACACCTACCTCTCCGACACTCACTCAGCAACGAAAAGGCGATTTTGATTCTGTCATGGTTCCCTCTTGACCAGCGGCCCCACTACCAACCACAGCCCTCCCTTATCCCCTCGCATCCATTCCCAGGGCTGAACAGCTGCTTTTGCAATTCTAATACATTCAGTGTTCCTCTAACTGGTGGTTTGGGTTCGTGGTTTGGATTGGTGGTTTGGAGGTGTTCCAGGATGGTTTCCCATTTGCCCATACAAAAGCCAGGGTTCAAACCCAAAGCCGAACCAATCCAAACCACCAAAAAGGGGTGCCTGATACATCTTAAAAAACGACGCGCGTTGAAACGTCCAACGGGCAGCTCCTATGATCACCTGCTCTCTGTTAGTTCCTTGCTGCGGCTCTTTCGGGTCTGGAGTTTCTTCCCAGGGGGCCCCAACTAACCAGCCGAAGGACGCAACAACTTTTTCAGCCCCCTTTGCAAGCCTGCAATGGAGCCTCTTTTTGTTTTTTCTGTGGGGCCGGGGCCGGGGGGGGGAGGAATCAAAAAGTCAGCCCACCTGCTTGCAGGTGATTGAAACATCACCTTTTGAGCCAACATTGAGTGCATTTTGTTTTGGCTGTGTGATGCTTCAAGGGGGCATGTAGCCTCCTTTCACGGGCCTTTTAAGTCAATGACAACCTCCAGTTACAAAATGAACATCCCTTTCTGCACATCCCTCGCCTGAAAGTACAAAGGCACCATGGTCATCCCCAGGATGACAAAGAGCAGCGCGCCCTGCCCTTTCTGCGTGGCCGACCAGTTCCCCTCATTGGCTAAAAAGAAGGCGGTGACGTCGACCGTGGCCATGGCACCTGGGCCAACCGATTCCCTGGGAGAGGAGACAGATGGGATTCCCGGACACCTTCGAGAATCCAACTGACCGTTTTTTTTAACAGAGAACGAGGACGAAGAGACATTTTGGGTGCTCCAAGATCACGAGGCGTTAGCAGTCAGAAAGGTGTCAGGGCGACATTTGAAGACGGGAACAGGACAGGAAGATGACAAGGCAAGCGGGCAATCCCCGACGAGGCGGCTTCCGACTCTTCAATTGAGGCACGAAAGGCAAAGACAAAGGAAAGTCCAAGACAGATGATGCGCCTTGGAATTGGAATGAAAGAAGTTGGCATTCAGATCATGAAGCACCCAGCCAAACTCATATGGCGATGCTGGCAAGCCATGATGCCTTTCAGCACCCTTTACATTTCTTCCATCGAGAAGAAGTTGACCGACGACGGCACAACTCATGCACAGAATCTTTCAGCACGCCTTGCTGGCAACAAAGCTTGTGGCGTGCGTCATCAATCCTCGTTCTGAGAGGAACCTCGCAGTGATCAATGAAAGTCAAAGCGAGAAGTATTTGCTCGCAACCCACTTGCTTGGCTTATCGGAAGTGCAGTGTTGGCTGCTTGACACACTTCACATTTGGTTCGAATCTTGCGCTAGAGGTGGCAGCTCTCCTTTGGAAGGTGCCAAGATCTGATTCGAAATCGTAGTTGGCCTGCGGTCACATGATTGTGTTGGAGGTGAAGCTTCTTTAGCTCATCCGGTTGGGACAGTCGCTTATGAGTCCTGCCTAGGGCAAGTGGCGGGTCGGCAAAAGTGAAATGGCCCTTCCTTTCCACAATTGGTCGTTGACGGTTGGGAAGAAAGTCTCCAGCTGTCTTCAAGTACATCGAGATCTCCACCATTCTCTGCATCAATCATCTCAGCAGCACGTTCCCTGCTGATTTGATCAAGATTGATTGGACAGGTCTTCACTTTACAAGGTGCTCGTCCTTCTGGAAATCCACTGGCTCTGGTTCTCAGATCTATTAATCTTCGGATACGTTCTTAAAGCAATTTCCAATGGTTCTTTTTTTCAACAAGATTGACAAGAGCATGTCCAGCGCCTGAAACTGGAACTGGTTGACGGCGCATACCCAATGCTTCCCATGCAATCTTGGCACACTGAGGAGTGTGCCAATGGTCATCTACAAGTTCCGCATTTGTCCAATACTTAGAAGTGTTGGCACTGCACCTTGCTCCAAGATGTCGATGTTGGTTCTGGCTGGGGGGCTCGTGTGGTATATAAGATGTAAGGTCCAGCTGGCCTTGGCTGATTCTCAATTGGCAAATGTGAGTTTGTGTCTGCTGGGACGCGCTAAACGGAGACGAGGCCTTCATTGAACCAATTGACGTAGGAGAACAAGAAGCAGAAGAAGGAGCCAAAGGAGAACAAGTGGCCTGACGCCAAAGACACCCCACGCAAGAGATCATGCGCGGACAGACTCCACGCGGTGATCTGACAATCGCAACTACTAGAAGAAGAACCCGTCACAACGAGGCAACCGGAATCACTGTTGGCGGTGATGCACCATCGCCAACGACAAGGGCCATGTTACTTGCTATGGGATGCCATTTAGGCATAATCCCAAAGAGAAACAACCGAAGACACAACGGTATATCCAACCAACCAAACGCTTAATTTTCTCCTGGGACCTTTTCAATTTTCAAGATTCACAGACTTTGCCAAAACAGATATGATGAGTGAGGTGAGCTGGTCAACGTTTCACACCGCCGAAGACACGTACAGAGCGTGTTTGTTGCATCGTCAAGCCACATTTCAGACAGAACTAGATTTCAAGACAAAATTATGCTGCAATTCAATATGTAAAAAATACAGTGGCTACGTCAAATAAATAATTAGCTGTGCGAGGTCAAAAGAAAGCTGTGTCTGTTTTTTGCTCTGCAATTGCGTGACAAGTGACCCCCCAACAATCATAACCATTTGCAATACCGTGGGCCCGAGGACCCTCTCCAATTGACAGTTCCCTTACGCCTCGGAAATAGGTCCAGGGAGCCAAGCGTGCCGTCTATTACCGCGGGGCCCGTCGATCTCAACGCCCGGGCACTGAGCAGAAGGAACTTCTCCAGGAGGTTCCAACTCTGTGCCTTGTAGGGGGAGAAGTGGGACTCCAGGGCAAACGCCACCAGCAGCACCACGCCTCGTAAACGGCTGGGGTCAAGCGGGCTTGTGCTTCTTGGGGTGAGGGATAAAAAAACTGTTTAGGCATCAAAAAAAAACTTATTTCTGAAGACCAAAAACTATTAGGGATCAAAAAAAGCTTCTTCTCATTGATTTACTATTAAAACTGAAAAATAAGAAGATCAAAAAAACTTTTTGGGGATCAACAAAACTTATTCATTTCTTTGCAGGCAAAGCACTTTCGCAAGGTCAGGTGCAGATTTCGTGGCAGGCGCGGCACTTTCGCAAGGTAGGCGCAATGCTTTCGCAGGCACTTTAGGAAGGTCAGGTACAGATTCGCGGCAGGTGCAGGACTTTCGCAAGGTGCGGTCCAGATTTCGCGGCAGGCGCAACACTTTCGCAAGAGGTACCAATTTCGCGGCAGGCGCAGCACTTTTGCAAGGTACGGTGCAGAGTTTGGCGCAGGCGCAGCATTTTCGCAAGCAGTGAAGAAAAATATACAGAGATATAAACATGAAGAAAAAGGGAGAAAACAGAGAGAGAGAGAGAGAAAGAAAGAAAGAAAGAAAGAAAGAAAGAAAGGAAAGAAAGAACGAAAGAAAGAAAGAGAGTGATGATCGAGGAAGTGATGATTCAGCAAAGGGCGCGTTAAGCTTTGTATACATTCTGAAAATCAGCGGGGGGGTTGGGGGGGGCGGCAGCCCCCCGCATGATGTTCGAGGAAGTGATGATTCAGCAAAGGGTGCGGTCATCTTTGTAAACATTCTGAACATCAGCGGGGGGGTTGGGGGGGGGCGGCAGCCCCCCCCATGATGCTCGAAGAAGTGATGATTCAACAAAGGGTGATGATGATCGAAGAAGTGATGATTCAGCAAAGGGTGCGTTAATCACTGCCAACCTTCTACAAATCAGCGGGGTGGTTGGGGGGGGGTCCTTCCTTCCTTCCTTCCTTCCTTCCTTCCTTCCTTCCTTCCCTTCCTTCCTTCCTTCCTTCCTTCCTTCCTTCCTTCCTTCCTTCCTTCCTTCCTTCCTTCCTTCCTTCCTTCCTTCCTTCCTTCCTTCCTTCCTTCCTTCTTCTTCCTTCCTTCCTTCCTTCCTTCCTTCCTTCCTTCCTTCCTTCCTTCCTTCCTTCCTTCCTTCCTTCCTTCCTTCCTTCCTTCCTTCCTTCCTTCCTTCCTTCCTTCCTTCCTTCCTTCCTTCCTTCCTTCCTTCCTTCCTTCCTTCCTTCCTTCCTTCCTTCCTTCCTTCCTTCCTTCCTTCCTCCCCCCCATAGGAATAAGCATAAGTTTTGTTGATGCCTAATAAGTTGTTTTTTGCCTAATAAGTTTTTGTTTGATGCCTAATAAGTTTTTCTTGATGCCTATCCCTGCTTCTTGAGGGTGCTGCGTGGTGAGAGGAAGCTGTGTTCGAGGGCCCCCTTTTGGTTCTTGAACAGGGTTCCCTATACTTTCGCCGTCAGCTTGGTCCAAGTGAAAGACACCAACTGCCTCCCAATGCCACGCCACAGGAATGTCCTTTGCGCACCAGTCCCCGCGAAACTGAGCAGATAGTGGGGATTTTATCGGGGTGGCAGAAGGATTTGCGGATTTGGGTGATCTGCGAGGCCGCCCTTTTTGGGCTGGTCAAGGGCTCGACTCCCATTCTGTCCTCAGTGCTTTTTTCGTCCCAATAGAGCTTCTCATCCCGGCCTGTTGCTGTTATTCTGCCCCTTCAAGTTTCTTCTGGACTTTAAGCAGTCCGGGCCGAGAGGTGCTGTATGCTCGCTTCGTTCGCATAATACTCTAGGGACCCCAAGAGGCTGGCCTTCGAGATTTAGGGGCCCATCTTCTTAGCCATTCAGTTTCGGCGCCCATCCTTCGGGCCCATCACATGAGGTCGTCAGCCAAATTCGCCAAAAAAAACAAACGTGAGGAAACTAGCTGCTTTCAACTTTCAATAGGGGCGCTCGCTTCAGCCACATCTGCTGTTGGTTTTCACACTACCGTTGGGAAAACCTGTCTTCCAAGACAAGCGAAATGGCCACGCGTCTCTTTTTGGTTGGTTCTGCTCGTGGAAGCCCCTGACAATGAAATTGCACCAAAATCGCCACAGGCGACCCGTGGGTGCGGGGATCTGTGGCAAACAACTGGCGCGAAGATGGTTGGGTCCATCCAAAGTGTTGATTCGCCAGGCTCTACTTAAAACCTTAGTCATGGTTCAACCCTCAACCGAGGACATACATCTTTACGCCCGTCATCATTTGAGGGAAGCCCAAAGATGTAAGAGTGTGCAAAAAGCGGACCCGGAAATTCATCGACAAGTTGAGGGGCTGATGCAGGTGATCTGCGTCAAGGGGTGCACCATGATTGGGAAGGCAGCGCAGCTCAGAGCCAGCAAGGTCTTGCGCGCCAAGCGCGTGACTTCCCACATCTTCACCTCAGGTTGGTTGCGGTCTTTCTTCCTGTAGGGATCAGTTCTTTGTTTTTTTTTTCTGATGGGAAAAACTTCTTTGCCCAACAACTTAATAGCATTCCAGTCGCCTCCTCCCGATAAGACGCGGTCAAGTACAAGTAGAAGGCGTCCTGGCAACGGCAAAACCTTTGGCCAGCTCGGCTTGACTTGGCAAGCAACACACAGTGGGAAAAAGGCAAAAGTGAAACACCGGTTAGCGGCTCAACTGTCGCCAGCGCATCCAAGCCAATCTGCACACCTACCGGTACATGAGCTTCTCCCGCAAGTCAGGCTCAAAACGTTTTTGCCCACCCTTTGGGAGACCAGTTTCAAGGGCAAAGTCCGAAAAAAAGAGAAAAAAAAGAAGAAAGAAAAGAATAATAAAAAAGATCCAAAAAAATGTTAAAGGGGAAAACAACAACAACAACAACAACAACAACAACAACAACAACAACAACAACAACAACAACAACAAGAACAAGAACAAGAACAAGAACAAGAACAAGAACAAGAACAAGAACAAGAACAAGAACAAGAACAAGAACAAGAACAAGAACAAGAACAAGAACAAGAACAAGAACAAGAACAAGAACAAACAAGAACAAGAACAAGAACAAGAACAAGAACAAGAACAAGAACAAGAACAAGAACAAGAACAAGAACAAGAACAAGAACAAGAACAAGAACAAGAACAAGAACAAGAACACAGAACAAGAACAAGAACAAGAACAAGAACAAGAACAAGAACAAGAACAAGAACAAGAACAAGAACAAGAACAAGAACAAGAACAAGAACAAGAACAAGAACAAGAACAAGAACAAGAACAAGAACAAGAACAAGAACAAGAACAAGAACAAGAACAAGAACAAGAACAAGAACAAGAACAAGAACAAGAACAACAACAAGAACAAGAACAAGAACAAGAACAAGAACAAGAACAAGAACAAGAACAAGAACAACCAACAACAACAACAACAACAACAACAACAACAACAACAACAACAACAACAACAACAACAACAACAACAACAACAACAACAACAACAACAACAACAACAACAACAACAACAACAACAACAACAACAACAACAACAACAACAACATGGTTTGTCTTTTTGGGACTCTTTAAGCAGACCACGGTCAGGTCTTGCTCCGGCGCCTGGCTGTTCGCCTCATTTTGGAGCAGCATGCACCAGGAGGCCGGGGCTGCGAGCACCACCAGCGCAATGACGCCGAGGAGCGTGGTGAAGGACATCGGGGTGAGACGCGCCTCACAAATCACCTGGGTGTCCGGCCGATGCACCGGGCCATTCAAGAATTCAAGTCGGGGGTTGGGAGTACAGAACCAGATTTCGTCATTTTTGGGGGCATACTGGGAGTGACTGTTTGACGCACCTTATGATAGCCTATCCGTTGTTTCCAGCACCTGTGAATGTTTATTGAGGGACCCGTTGGTGGACATCATTTGGGATTCAATCCATCAATCCATTAAAATCCAGGGCCACCTGAGTGTTTCTCAAAACGGCCCCCTTTGTTTGGTATTCAAAGGGAACCCAAAAGGAAACCGTTGCTTTTTTAGGGCATTCCTACTTTGAGAATCCCCAAAAGGTGGGGCCAGAAACAACAAGTTGACAAATGTGCGTTCCCAACCACCAAAGCCGCCTTACAAAAACCACCATTTGTAAAAGGAGGGGCTAACTCTGCATTTGGACCAGGAATGTTTGCTATGTTTACTCCTCTCATCAGAGTAGGAAACCCGAAATGGTTGTTCCGGAGATCCCTTTCTAGGTCATTAAAATTTCATGAGAAGCAGCTCAGCAAGAAACATTTATATATATATATATACATCCATTTTCCCAAATTGGGACACCCCACCCAATATACAACCTGGGCAATTTGGAAAATGTTAGGAGCCTGGATCAATTCAGCAACTAACCTGAATTAAGGGATCCTAAAGTAATTATGTAGGTCCGCTCATGCAATGGTGACGCCGGACCACCCTGAAGCTAGTTTGAGGGAAGCCTCAACTTCCATCTGGAAATGCAAAGAGAAAACTCTTGGAGGAGGAAAACCCGTAGGCATTCCAGGGGCTCAGGTGCATGGGCATATGGGCACGTCGACTTTTGGGAGGCTACCTTTTTTGGGAGGTTGAAAGGGAAGCCAAAGTGAAATCAACAACATTCTGGGCAAAAGGCCACAATAACTTCAAACTCGCAAACTGCAAACCCGGAGTCAAGTCCGGGACCAGGATCATTCATGTTTGGGCCCGGTGCGCTCGTAGCTTGTGCATAATTTTGAGGGCTGCCTTCTCTGCAAGATGTCCACGGAGAAAGGGGGTGTCTTCTTCGGTGGCTGAGTTTCAAGGGAACCCCTCCAGAAAAGAAAACAATGGGCACATGCGATTGATAGTTCATTGATTCTAAGGGGAAAATCCCCCACCAATAGGAAAAGATCGGAAAAAAGAAAAAACACAAGAGGCACCTAATTTTGGCAACCAGTTGATTTAAGGGGAACCCCCCTCCAAGAAGCCCAGGAACGCACAGGAATCCTTCCGGAGCTTCCTGAACCCTCCCTAAAAGACTCGCTCCGGAGCTTGTCTGCGCAAAGACCCCCACTGCCTTCGGCTGTTGGGGAACAGAAGAGAACATGCCCCGCCCCTCCCTCCCCCCAACCCCGACATACAAAAAACAACAGGCAATATCCCCAATAGTGAAGCCCCGAGAGCTGATTTGGGCAAAGGCCCAAAGCTTCCAGCCGCTGGGCAAAAATGACCCTTTCTGTGGTTGTGTGTTGTTGTTTTGCTTTTTTCTTTTTGGGGGGGGGCATCAGTTGATGTCGGTAAGTGGACCCCCCCGAAAGAATGACAGCAAAAGAGAGTCCACAAGCTCCGAGCAGCCATGCCCCCCACTTGCTCCGGCTCGAGGCGGTAGCACACCAGGTACCGGCCAAAGCAGACGCAGAACTTCACCTCAACGCCCACCGTGTTGTGTTGGTGTCTCGAAATCTGAATCGGAAGCCTCTTTTGGGGAAGGGGGTGTTACATGTCGTTTCCCTTGCGGCCGGCTTCAGGGGAAAATCTAAGCAAGCAGGCGGAAAGTAGATGACACCATTCCAATGTTGGCTTAGCCATCCCCCTCACCCACAGGAATTTCTGCCATCTACTTTCACACCGGGAAGTTCCCCAAGCCCTCTGTAGATGGACGAGTTCAAACCCGCTGCAACCCCTGCGCCAAGAAGGTTTCCGAGCTTCCTGGAATCCAGCCAAAACAAGCGCAGGGGTTGTCCAAGCCCGAACCGATCTTTTGATTTCAGGGGTCCCAAAAATCAGGTCGGGTGCCCCTGGAAAAGAAACATGTGTTCATTTGTTTCGCCCCCAGCCAATGAGTTGACCGGCAAAAGCTAAGCCCAGGGGGCGTGCCCAGCCGCTTCCCTGCCCTTTGACCTGACTCATTCGTGCCGACCGAGCTGCCAATGCTCAAGCACGCGAACATTTGGAGTCAGGGACCCTGAAACCATTTACAAATGGTGGCCCACCCGCTTGTATAGAAACGGTTGCGTCCCCAGAGGGGAAAATCCTGTCTCAATGTCTTTTTCTTGAAGAAGATCGAGTGAGCTTCAAAACCCTCCCAAACTACACCAAAGATAAGCTCCAGACAACTTGGCTCGGAGACCGCTTCGTGGAAAATGGGGTGTCTTTTTTATGGGAACCCCACAAATTGTGTTTCTCCTTCTGGTTTCCCTTCACAACCACGAAAAGGGCACCCTCAAAAAAAGACACACCCCAAATGGTTGCTTCAGGAGTTTCCAACTAGAAACGAGAACCCAAAAAGGCGAAACTAAAAGGTCAAAAGGTCATCCACATCCCAGTGGCCAGAAAGCAGTTCACGCCCACCACCGCCGCCACTCGCAGGCCACGAACCACCATGAGCAGCAAGACCGCGCAGACCGGCATCGAGAGCGTCAGCAGGGTCCGGGCCTGTAAAGGTTTTAGGCCAATGGAATAGAACCCTTCTCAACCCAATTGAACCAACCCCGTTCAAAACATTGCAAATTGGGGGGGGGGAGGGGGTTAGGTACTTGGTGGCCATCGCCCCCGATCTGCGGGCTTGTGGGGAAGATCGGGTCCCAAGAGGTAGAGCAGCCGAGGGTAACCCAGAGTTTCATCCAGGCAAATCACAACGAGGCTTTCCAGGAGTACGAGCGATTTCCTTCAAGGTAGTAGGAAATCAACCAGCGACAAGGCTTGGAAGGAACCTTCTTAGAAGAGGGTTCTGAGCATCAGTTTGGTGTGGGGTCGGGGGCCGCCAGATTCGGCCAATCTATGTGATCTGCCCCAACAGGTTGGGGCAAATGCAAATTAGCTTTGGAGAGCCAAGCTCTCCGGGTAGCCCAACTTGCAATTGACAGTGAACCCCAAAACCCTAAACCTGAACCCTAAACACCCAAACCTAAACCCTAATACACCAAAACCCTAAAAGCCTAAAAACCTAAATCCCTAAACCGAAACCCTAGCTACTGAAGATGGTGGAGTGTTTTGGGGGCCAACCTAAACTCTAAAGACCCTAAACCTAAACCCTTAAACCCAAAACCCTAAACCTAAACCCTAAACCTAAACTCGAAAGCTTCAACGCTAAGCCCAACAGGTCCTGTGGGACGGAACGCATGGATTGGGGTTGCTGATTGGCCCTGGTAGATGTTTAGCCACTGCGCGAACTTAAGATAATTCCCGAGCCAGAAATAAGTGAATCACTGGAACACTAGCCATGGCAAGTATCGGTGGTTCGCTTACCCATGCCAAGCCTAAGGCTTGGCGCACTGCCGAGAACTGTCCAGCACACACAGGCATGGCAATATAAGGGCCTAAAAAAATGAATATGGTTTTGGGTGCCGCAAAGCCAAATTTAGCCATGATGGAGCAAACATGAGTGATTCATCAAGGGCACGTATCACACACACACACAAACGCGCACCAAGAACGCCCACAAGTCGGAAGTCTGGGGGCGTTCTCGCCTGCCAACTGGAGGGCAAGCCCAGGGCCCGCAGCATGCAATCGGCGGAAATCTCCCCGGTGGAGCCCTCCCCAAGCTCCACCACGCTGAACAGGGCCTCCATCCTCGGCTTTCTTTCGCGTCCGGGAATGCGACAAGGGGAATGCTCGAGTAACCCTTGTAACCCTTAGTGTTTGGGCGGTTATGTGGAATTGAACCCCTTGGAGGCAACTCGGAGAAATCAATAAAGAAGAAAAAACACTTCCTGGGTTTTGGATTGCCAAAGCCCCCACGTTGATATAAGAAACAAACGTGTCTACGGTGTAGACTCATTTTCCTGAAGGACCTGCTGTCAGGTTACCGTCGATGTCCATGCGTGGGAGGGCTGATTGCAAAATGAAGCCCGCAAGTGGTTGCACCTCCTCCTGTGAAACCCGCAGACCTGTGCCCAATTTTTGTTGAAAACACTCGCCCGGTCCCAGAAACAAACAAGCATGCCAAACGAGGTATCACCAGTCCCGCCCCCCTCTGTGGTTTGGACCACGTTCCTGAAAAAGGCGCGCATAAAGCACGACGCACGATGACGCACATGCACACACACACACAACACACACAGACACACACACACACACACACACACACACACACACACACACACACACACACACACACACACACACACACACACACACACACACACACACACACACACACACACACACACACACACACACAACACACACACACACACACACACACACACACACACACACACACACACACACACACACACACACACACACACACACACACACACACACACACACACACACACACACACACACACACACACACACACACACACACACACACACACACACACACACACACACACACACACACACACACACACACACACACACACACACACACACACACACACACACACACACACACACACACACACACACACACACACACACACACACACACACACACACACACACACACACACACACACACACACACACACACACACACACACACACACACACACACACACACACACACACACACACACACACACACACACACACACACACACACACACACACACACACACACACACACACGCACTCGCACGCACGCACGCACGCACGCACGCACGCACGCACGCACGCACGCACGCACGCACGCACGCACGCACGCACGCACGCACGCACGCACGCACGCACGCACGCACGCACGCACGCACGCACGCACGCACGCACGCACGCACGCACGCACGCACGCACGCACGCACGCACGCACGCACGCACGCACGCACGCACGCACGCACGCACGCACGCACGCACGCACGCACGCAAGCGCGCACGCACGCACGCACACGCACACGGACGCGCGCACGCGCACACGCGCACACGCGCACACGCACACACGCTCACATTGCAAAAGCAAGCAAACAAGTGTTCGCCGTTTTAAGTCACACTGCTATCAGAATGTGGCCGGAATGGCCAGATCAGAAAGCCAACTTTCCGCGCCGACTTCTACCTATGCAAGATGCCCAAATTGCACATCCACGGATCCCTCAAACCAGCTGCCCAATTGAATTAGCCAACTGGGAATAGATGACCCGACAAATACCTCATCTACTTTAGACTTTCTACTTGCCTTGGGAAACGAAGAGCCACATCCATTTCCTGCGAGACCTGGATAACGGTTGTCTCACAGCAGGAGGCAGAGGTCACAATGACCTCAAAGGCTTAAAACAGCACACGCGGTCCCCACAAGAATAAGAGTCCAAACCCTAGCCTTTATAGGAGGGTAATTGGCGATTCGAATAATGCGGTTCTTTTGTTTCGAGGAATCCCTCCCCTGGCAAAGCCAACTTAATTTGGCTTGGGTCGAGGTCTCTGGCAAAGATCAGGGCTAGGGAGTTGAGACGGGGGGGTCGTGCCGCTTATGTTCACCCAACTGTACTCTTCTACCAACGTGGAAGTGCACATCAAACTAACCACTGGTTTGAGGGAAGCTGAATCAAAAAATTAGGCCTCAGCGAAGTGGTTACATCAGGGCTGTTCAAGCTGACTACTCCAAAAATTGTCTTTCCTTGCTGGCGTCCTTCAAACCATGCCAGAATGAGACCGGGGCCTCAAAAAAACACGGACCCATGTCTGGTGGGAAGCCATAAGTCAAGCCACAACGGCTCCACATGGCCAAGGCAGAGCTTGAAGGTGTCGGTGCTCCGAACCGCCTGAAGCACTGAGCCAGCCACCAGCACGTAGGACATGAACTGATTGATCAGCACCGTGCTTTCCTGCCATCCGTTTTCTCAGGGCGTGTCTTAGAATAGAGGACCCCTAAACTGGATTGATGCCCATATCAATAGAAGAGTGGCGCAGACCATTTCAGAGCCCCATTGTTGTTCTATGGTCTATGAACATGAGGTGCAAGGCTTTCTTGGGTTGACCATAAGAGATCTACTTAGCAGAAATTGTGTTGGTGAATCCCACACTTGCAGGCCTGCCTCCTTACAGGAATCTGTAGTTTATTGAGTTTGTCACGTGGGGAGAACTGGGCTACTAGCCACCCATGGCCAATGGGAAAGTCTTCATCCCACCCCTTGTGAGCTACAGTCATGGCTCACAAAAAAGACTGCCCCAAGGAGGGTGCAAATTGGATAGCCTCGCCTGTTATATAAACTTTTGCGGACTAGTTCGCATTGGGGCTAGCGGGCTTTCACCGCCCGACTGTCCTCCAAGAAAGCTGGCAGCACCCAACGGGTGGCTGCCACTTGCAGTTGGCCTGCCTCACCCCTCACGTGTCCTGATTTCTGTTGGCCGTGTGAAGTACTAAATAGCCTATGGTAGGCTCACACAAAATGGTGGTACAGGAAGGGGTAGGAGAATGACTCATAGGGCATCAAACAACTCCTGATAAGCAGGTCAACCCAAAAACACCTTAACAAGCAAGGGAACCAGAGAAATACCTGCGCGCCATGGAAAGATTGCTTTATGAAGAACACTTTCCACTCCATTTCTGGAACGCGCTAAACTCTCCATGCTAACCAATAGCAAGCTGGCAGCCTCATGGCGCTGCTGCATATTGGCCTTCTAATCTACCCTACTGGAGAGTTTGATGCACAAGACAAGCCATGAACATACGACACGCAAATCGGCCCACAAGCAAAAGTGCATATGCGTTTCTGGAACCATGCCCCAGCGCAACGAGGCCCATTGTTACCACATGTGCTGGCTCATGAAAGGTGAAAGCATCGCAACAATCAAGTTGGATGCTAGTTGCAGAGAGTATTGTAGCTAACACTGCTTGCAGCAACCAACCACTTCCAATCCTGCATCATCAGTAGCACCAGGCGCGAATGGTGCTAATCATGCAAAATGCTCAAGGAGCACACACTAACTAAGCATACAAGTTGTTCAGATGCACATCTCAATTAATTAATATAGTGACCTATCATGCAAGTTCAGGTCTAAGCAAGAGAATCACATGAATCTTCAAGGAAGTTGTGTAAGCAACATTGCATCCTAGAACTTTGCAAACAGGGACAGGGGCCAAGAACTGGTAGGGGGAACAAAAGCTAAAGGCGACCCAAATTCTGAACAAGTGATCCTGGGCTGAGTCTGGGTGCTCGGGGGGGGGGGGGGGGGAGGAAACACGAAACTAAAACCTGATTCCGCTTGTTCTCCCCCCCCCCCGCAGCTCTCCTTAGACATGTCGACTAGATGTAGTGTAATCTACTCTTCTTACTGGATCCAACAATGTCTGACGGTTTTGTATTCAATTTTCGGGAGAAGCGTTGTGGGCCATAGATGATTGTTTTTGAAAATAAGTGTCTGAAAGACACACAAATTATAATATGCGAAAAACGCAGGTCTCCGCAACGTCCTCTTCTGCAATAGAAACTATGTAGCAACAAAAGACACACCCAGTTGATCTTTTTTTTGGTTAGGGGGGCTTACCCTGAAAGAGACGTCTCAGACATCACCCAGACACTCACTGCTGATCGGATGTTATTTGCCAAAAGTATGAAGGCCAAAAGATCATGGAGTAAGAGGGGCCAAGGGACCGAGAAGTAAAAGGTGATCACCTTTTAGGGCCACTAAACATGGACCAAGAGGAAACCGAAACCGTCACGGGCTGAGCAAACCGAAACCGTCACACCCTCGGTTCAACGTCTCACGGAACCAGCCCCAATCCCACCCCCACCCCCCCCACCCCCCCCCCGTTTTTGTCCCGCACCCCAGTTCAATGGAAAATCCATCTGCCTATGCCTTGAAGCTCGTGTTCATACTTCAGGGCTTTGCAGAAAAACAATCACGCAAAACCAACCAACCAAACAGCCAGCCAGCCAACCAACCAACCCACCCACCCACCAACCGACTGACCGACCGACCAACCGACCGACTCACCAAGCAAGCAGGCAAGCAAGCAAGCAAACAAACAAACCAAATCCCACCCTGTCTCCTTCTGTCTGCCAGTTGCCGATGTCACCCCAGACGCGGACAAGGCGAACACAACGAGGTCTGGCATCAAAAAGTGCAGCAGTTGAAAGCGCTGGTGGGTGGGAGAGTCTGCGCATCGAACACCTCGGGGTCCGTCTAAAGCTTGACCAGACTTCTCTTTCTGCGATCACGTCACGTACAAGCCTAGTTCTCGGTCACAGGGCCTAATACGAGTTCTCCAAAGCTGCGGTCTCGCTACAGCAGCCCCCCTTCTGTCAATGCCCGATTCCCCTTCTGTCCCAGTTGTGCCATGCCCACGGAGCCTTTTGAAAGAACGCACACGCTCTCAGTTCAGCTTCGGATAGAAAAAGACTTGGCACCCTTTTTTCTTTGTTTCCCTTTTGGACCACGGAAAATGGCAGCCTAATTCGTCAAACAAAAGAGAAGAAGAATCGGTGCCACTAAACTTGACGAATTTGGGGGCGGGGGGGGGGGGGGCAAAACATGCACTGCCACAAAAAGCAACGATCAACATTCAACATTTGCGGCGCATGGAAATCGTTTGGGATCGCCCCACGGTTTGTCGGACATCCTGTAGATCTCCAACAGGACACGCTGACCGCCAGGCTCTTAGGCATCCCCCAAAAAGGAAACACTGTTTCGTGGGATATATAGCCACCAAAAAATACCAGCTAAGGGCATATAATTACCTTGCTTTCCAAGCGGTTTCCCTCCTTAGGGACATGCAGTCCAGTGAGGGGACGCCCCCCGAGTTTGCCGTCCACTGTCTAACTGCACATTGGTCAACCCTCACCTGGGTATTTTGGTTGCTATGGGACTGTGGCAAAAGAGCGGGGCCTGACCCCTCCCCAAAAAGGGCAGCCTCAAAAACAAACACACACACACACACACGCACAGACACACACATGTACACATGTACACCCGAACTACCCCGATGAAACCCACTGCCGACGCTTGATAAACAAACAAACCCCCATCACGGGAATCCCCTGCAAGAAAGGGGTCCACACTAAAAAGGGACCAAGGGGAAACGAATTGGTCAGATCCGGGCCAAACGAAAAATCCCCCCAAATCGGTTTAGTCGGGTTGCACTCCAGCGGGCTCATGTCTGACTGGGCGTGGGTCTCGCTACACTGCGCGCAGCCCCGGCCCTGGTACCTCACGGCATCCAGAAGTGGGAATGTGGAATGTACGGCCGGTTTTTTTCTTGGGCTGTGGTTCCCCGGTACTCTTGAAAAGAGCACGTGTGTGGAATGTCTGATTTTGAGGAACCAGAAAGGAAAAGGAGGGGAACTAGGAAGGAAAACCGACCAAGTCAATATTTCCCACTTAAACAACGCAGTCCGCAGGAACCACCAGGGGTGGCCCTTGGTGCTAGGATTGGCGGAGGCGCCCCGTGCGGCACATGGCCCCAAACTTCTCCGTCGTCACCTCCCCGCCGACGCACGCCATTCGGAAGGGGCACCGAAAGCTGCGGCTGATGTTGGCCGGCTCCACCTTGCGCGGAACACACCCTTCCATATGCGGCCAAGTGCCCAACGTGGATATGTAAAAACCCAACGTAACAAAACCTATGAAAAAGGAAGTTACCCAAACGAAAGGAGGGAAGCAGGAGGAAAACCCGCCCCACATAAGCCAACCCAAACCGAGGCGACCCCAACAGTGAGAACCCCCAGAAACAACCTAGAGGCCACGCTCCATGCGGACCTCAACTCTGCTTCGTCCGGCAAG